ATCTATAGATTTTGTTAATTCACTACTCACCCTTTTTCCGAGGTATTAAACAACACAGGACCTAGTACAGAATCTTGAGACCACCTGCTGTTAATCTTTTGACACAGTGAAAATTGGCCATTTAATCCTACTCTTTGCTTTCTGTCTCTTTCCTAGCCAGTTTTTTAACCTTAACAATACTTTACCTATTATCTCATGACTACTTAGTTCTTTTATAGTTTCCTGCATGAGATCTTGTCAAAGACATTTTGAGAATCTAAATAAATTATGTCAAATTTTTCCTTTATTCCCTAATTTTTGTATGCTTTCCAGGAGATTAGTAAAACGAGATCTTCCTTGGCTATTTAAGCTCCATCTCACTGTTATCTTCTAAGTATTTTGTTATTCTGTCTTAAACATTGTTTCTCAACTGATTTTTTCCAGGCACAGATTCATTAATTTGTAATTCTTCACATGACCTTCAGTGCCTTTTTTTTAATGAAAGAAATTGTCTACCTTTCAGTCTTTTGGAATGCTGGCTATATTTAATGAGAATGTGATTTTTTTCCCCCTAGCAGCCCAGATAGACCATACGTAATTTCTTTGTAGATGCTTCGTAGATGTTTATAAATTGGCCTTGGTTACTTAGTGCTTTAAAACATGATTATCACTTGGAATACAACTTTCCAACATGCAACAAAGAAATACAGGAAATATGAGAAACCCATTGTGATACAGACAATGGGTTAAACCAGCTGTGGTGGAAGAAAATACAACTTCCATTAGGCAAGCTTTCACTAGGCTGTTTTTTTTTCAAAATGTAATTTTTATTGTTATCGTTAACAGTGTTAACATTATTCACATTAACCACCAGGGTTAACAGTGTTGGAGCTCTGGTACAGATAAACTGATGCTTGTTTCTGGCACTTCAAACTCCTTGCCATCTCACCCTGCTCTGAATAGCTCAAAATATTGGATGCTAAAACACTGGTGACTACCTGAATCCCTGTGTGCACTAATCCTCCAATCTTTGCTGGCGTTTGTTGTTGCTGTTGTTTGTTTGTTTTTTGCAGTTAAACTGCTGTTAGCAGGAGGAAATATTTGGAGAATGTCCCTTGTATGGACTATGCCACTGATACAGTGGGAGTTGTGCTTTCTTGAGATCAGAGTGGAATTTGGGGACAAAGATTTGATTCCTGGTATATTTGCAGTTGTAATTTTCCAAGTCAATAATTGCTTCATGCAGGAAACATGATACTTTAGCAGCTGAGGATTTCCAAAACTTTGGAAAAGTTCAGACTAAGATCCAAGACAAATCTGAACTTGGTGATTTGGAATACACCTCTAGTATTTTTAGGGTGGCTATTTCAAAAGTGCTGATTGTACACAGAACACTTTTCCCACTTAAGTTGTTGGAAGTTTTACCTTTAACTTCAATAGCTACAGAGTTAGTCCAGCATTGAGAGAAATTGAAGGTCCTACCCTTTGTGGTTTTATTATTTCCTTTGTTTGCTCATATACTAATTTTTGTCTAGTGGATGAGATTGGGAAAGCATTAAAAAGAGCACTATATTTATTCTACTATATAATTAACTGTGAGGCATGGAATAAATGTGAGAATGCTATACAGGCAGTCTTCAGACTTATGACACAATTGGTTCCTGAAAGCGGTGTCTTAAGTCGAAACATTGTAAATCAGAACCAATTTTCTCATAAGAAACAATGTTATAAATGGGGAATTCATTCCTGAACCAAGGCCCAATACCCTATTTTCACTAAAAATACCCCAGGATTTTGTACTCGATCAATTATAGATGAGTAATATAACTACATTAATGTACTTATATTGTAAATAGCAATCATATTGATTTGGAAGGACTTCTTGGAGGTGACTTTGCTGGACTTTTTGAAAGACTCTTGGTTGAACTTTTTGAAGGGTTCTTGGCTGGAGTCTTCTCAGGAGTCTTGGTTGCAGGTTTTTCTGGAGTCTTGTCTGCTTTCTTAAAGAAAGTGTCCAAGGAAGTTTGGCTAGATGTTCTCCAGGGAGATGAGCAGCTCAGTTAACTTGTTTGCTGGTGTGGTGTCGCATCAGATCAAGCGTTGTAAAGTCGAAACTGATGTCATAAAGTTGAAACAGGGTGTCAATTTATAAACGTTGTAAGTGCGAAATGTTGTAAGTTGAGGACTGCCTGCATTATGCACAAATACCAAATAATCAATGCAGTACTGCCATCTGTTGGCAGTTGTGATTAGCAATGCTGCAGAAGAAATACTTGACAATCTTGGATATGGTATTTCATTTATCTTTGAACTGTCACATAGAATGTCTGTACACTATTAAAGTAGCTACTACTTTCTCCCTTACAAGAAGGTTGTATTTTAGTGGTGCAGTATACTGTGTTAAGTCAGAGAATATCTTTTGTAGACCTGCATTGCCACAAAACAGGCAATAGATGCAAGAAAGCAAAGCTGACTGAAGACCCTGGGCTACTATCCAAATGGCTTTGATGCTCCTGTGGCTTTCCTCAGGATCTGCTATGTCTGGAGATGATTTCTACTCTCTTTTCATTGTGAGGCAAACCCCACCTCTTACAGGATTATCTGGACAGGATCTCTGCAAATGGTCATCAAAGGTAGTCCCTACGCCAGAGCTGCTGCTTATGGGTTTGTCTTTAGGATTGGATGATCCAGATCAACATGAATAATTTTACAGAGCTTTCTGAGTCAAGTAGAAAGAGATATGTAAATAAGATTCAAAATGTAAGTCTACATTCTAGCTAATAGGAATCTCACAACTTAGAAGTCCAATCTCTTTCCCATGGAAGTCATCAGTGCAGTGAGCTCAGGTGGAGTGAATATAGTTCAGGACTGAAAGTTATCACTGGGAGTTCCAGTTCACTTGTGCCTTCCCCCTGCCCCAGCCCCTGCAAGTCATGTAGGCCAACATTTTCCAAAGTGTCTAGCTGGAAGTAGCTGTAGTCCAGTTTTCAAAAGTGCTGAGCATTTGCACAGTGGAGTGTATCTGAGGCACTCAAGTTACATGGATACACTGGAAAATTTAGGCATGGCTGATGGTTGCAAGTTCACTATGAAAGTCAGTATCTGTATCTGAATACAGGAGTTCTGAATTAGTTCTGTGCTTTGCCACTACAATATAGTCCAACTTGCAGTGATGAAAATGAGCCTGCTGGTTAACTTTAATGAGAACTGGAGTGGTCCTGATTCTGTGAGTCCCCAGGAGGTTTGTCTGAGTAATGAGTGGTAGACCAGGTCTCCAACTGTAAACAGGGAGGCTGCTGAAAATGTGGCTTTATTCAGATGTGCCTCACTTGGAGCTGAGCTCTTTGGAAACCCCTGAATCAACCACTGCATTTCTTTGCTAATGCAAAAATACTTTATTTTCTTAAAGGAAAACGTCTTGATCACATAACTAACACAAGACCCCATGCAAAATTATTATACAATTTGTTTTCTAATAAGAAGTGACTAAAATGGGTTTTAAAACCTTGCTAAAAGACTAGTTCAGAATTGCAAAAGACGACAATAAGGAGAGAATGCCAGGAAGCTTGAATAAAGGGAAATCAATTGTTTTCATCACAGACTTGTTCACTCATATAAATTAATCATAACATTTACCTTTCAAACTTGCCATCTAGCATTTTTGGTATATATAAAGTGCTCTTGACAGCCTCTGTAGGCCCAATAACCCTCATTTAGAAAGAACAATTCTCATCCAACAGGACTGTATTACAATTTTTCCTTTAGTATGCAGTTTCCTTCTAATGTGGCAATTTCATTCATCCTTTTCATGAGACACACAAACAGGACATTCTGAAACTGCTACTTTTTGGGCAGGTCTTTGTAAAGTGATGTCTTTCATATCATTCATTGTATCTTACAGGGAGCAAAATTAATCTCTTTTTCACAGGAGTTTCTATAAGAGGAGTTTTTTTCCCACTAAAAATGCCTTCTCTAAGCCCTGGCACAGATCCTAGGGTCTGTTAAAAATAGGTCCTGATGTCTGTGCAGTCAGTTGATTGGGCTTTGGTCACTTATTTGGTATCAGTTAAAGTACCACTGAGTCTACACTCGCCATTCTTAGCATAAGGTTTTACCCTGCATCCAGATTCAGGATGCCATAAGCTGATCTGAGAGTGAGTAGTTGGTGTGACAGGTGTCAGCTGTCAAAGACAACTGTCTCAACTGATGAACCTCCTTAGTCCTAATCCGTTTTTTGCCTTTGGTGATAAAATCAATTGACCTCTGTAATGTGGACAAGGCCTTACTGTTTCTGTAGAGTACAGCTGTTGTGGTGGGCTATGGAGTCTCTGAAAGAGCTACGAGCCTTATTCCACTGAAAAATGTAAAGTTTAGCAGTAGGATCTTGACCACTGCATATCATTCCTATGCCATAAAAGTTTGTTTCATATGTTACAAAACTATTTTTAATTCTGGAACCCATAAAGGACTTTAAACAATCTAAATAAGGAGGGAAAAGGAAATGGTGACAATTGAGAAGGCAGAGTAGGAGACATTAAAGGACCATTAAGAAGATTTAAAAAATCAGTGTGTATGATATTGGGGAGAATTTTATTTAAAAAACTTAGAATAATGTAGGGTATTACTCTAGGTAGTAGAGTATATATAAACTGTAGAGTAGGAGAGCTATGAAAAGCTAACAAAATAAGGTTAGAAAGAGGGATGTGAAAGCAAAAAATGAAGTTTCTGTATGTACCAAAGACCAATATAATAAAGTTCTTATTCGACTCCTGATCATTCAAGCACCTGCACACAAGCTTAATACTGTGCCTAGCACTGGTGCAGAATTAGGCTCTGAACTTTACTTGGCAAGTTCCCATTTTCTTCCTCAGTGGAATAAAGATGCAGTTTTGGCTTTGGCAGGGAGAAAAGTCAGCCAGCTATGAAAGCAACATGAAAAAGGACCAGGAAGGAAGAGACAAAAAGATCATCACACTAAGGAGGGATGACAGACTTTAGGTGGAAACAAGAACTGAGATGCAAGCAGGAGCACACTGATGGAGCCCTGTAAGGGTAAGAAGTTCAAATATGATGTGGGAATGTAAAGAGAACCGGTAAGAGATTCAAGGAGCTTGTATTAAATGGTCAGAGCAGTGAGACATTAATGTTGATTTACCTGCAGTATATTGGGTAGTTTGTGAAGGAGTGGTTGGAGCCAGAGAGGCCAGAGAAGAGCAGGTTAAAATAACCCTGGTGCAATTTCACAAGGGGAGAGAATAAGTGAGAGTTTGGATAAATTATGTAAGTCAGGGGTGTAAAAAATGCAGCCTGCAGGCTAGATCCAGCCTATGGAGTCATATCATCCAGCCAGCAGTACTAGCTGTTGCATGCTACCTGCTTGCTGGGTCCAGGGCTAATCTGGATCAGGCTCGCTGATGAGTTGTACATGTTGGCTTCAGTACACGTGACCTGTTTGGCCTGGGTGTCACATGCAGCATTCACCCCAGCCCAGGCCTGTGCATCCTAGGCTGCACCAGGCTGGAGCCAGCACACACTACATGCAGCAAGGGACTTGCATGCACTCATGTGACTCTAGCACTGTGTGCTGGATCTGGGGCTGGTTTGGATCAGGCCAATAGACTGGATCCATATGCCAATCCAGCAAGCAGGGCTGGTGTGGCATGAGATCCACATACAGTGCACGCCCCAGACCAGTACTGTGCATTGCGTGCTGTGCCATGCTGCATGTGGGGCTGATGTGGGGTGTGTGCTGCATGTGGCACCAGCACCAGGGTGGCCCTGCACGTTGGATCCGGGGCTGGTCTGCATCAGGCTCATAGACCAGCCCCGCATGCCAGATGCAGTGTGCAGGGCCAGTCTGGTGCTGGTGCCACATGCAGCATGTGACCCAGACTGGCCCTACTCACTATCTGTAACATGCACCCAAGACCTATGTGCTGCACACAGAGCCAAGGCCATCATGTTCTGCATGTGGCATGGGGCTGGAACTGGCATGTGCACTGCACACAGCCCACATAGCCAATTCAGAGTGTGTACTGCATGCGGTGTCTGCACTGGACCAACCCTGTGGGCTGGATCCAGCATGGGGTCTGATCTGGCCCGAAGACTGGTCTTGCATCTTTGTGAGCTGGATAAGTTTGACACCCCTGATGTAAGTATTGCAGCATAATTTACATCAGATTTTCCTGTGTAGCAAATTTGCTGCATAGAAAGGAGTGGACACTTGACCAGCTTTCTCAAGCTTGCTGCCCATTGTTGGTGCTAATAAAGGGCCTGACCACTAGACGGCAGGGGAACCAGTTTTCATTGACCAAAGGGCTACACTGAATGGACTAACAAAGCATTATTCATAGTAATTTTCCCATATAGTGAAGCTATTATACATTTGTCAAGAGGTAACTTTAATCTAGATTTGAGTGATTTAGGACTGTCTGTTGTGTCCACGCCATTTTACTACAGAGTAAAGTCAGTTGTTACATAGTAAATATGTGCTTCATCTGCACCATGAAATAATACCTACTAGATCACCTAGATGAGTCAGGAGCACTTAGGCTGCTTACAGATGTGAAAAAGCCCCCAAAATGGCATTTTAAGCTTGGCATATCAAGTGCAGTGCACACCCAGAAAAGGCATCACGTTAGTTGGACCTGGCTTGCCAAATGCCTGTATAGATTGAATCAGCTTTAGATAAAAGTGCCAAAAAGCTCCGCTGAAGCACCTGACTATACAGATGCTGCGGAGCTGGGTCAAACTAGCACGCTGCCTCTTCTAGTAAAGCACTGTTTTGGTTTTTTCCATGTCTATCAGCACCCTCAATGATTAACTGTATCAAATGCTACCAACACATCAAACAATGTTAAAATGGTTATTTGTCCTCTCACCATGCCTAAGAAGAGATCATATACTAGAGTTGTGACCATTCTGTATCCTGGACTGAAACTTGACTATGAACAGATGGTGACAATGATAAAGATGTATAGCCCTTGGATTCTGTCACTCTATTAATTTCTCAGTGACCATGTCCAGGAAAGAAAATTTGAAACTAAGCGGTAGCATGTTTGATTATTTGTGGTCAGTGGCTTCTTTATGTCTTGCTGGACATGTGTGTGTGGGGAGAGTGGCGGTATATTTCCCTCTTCACAAAAGCCATCTTAATAGTCCACTCAGTCTTTATCTTTGTTTTCTTTCTGTGTCCTTGCCTAAGGGGATGGAGGCGGCCTATGGTTGAGGCTGCAGTCAACAGCAGGTGATTAGACAGGCTCAGGCAGCTGCGTACTATCAATTTTTGCCTTGAAGGAACTGCCTAAGCCAATGATTGTTAGGTATGAATTCTGCCTCCAAAGATCTTAATAAGCTGAAGACTTATTACAAGGTACTATGTTGAAGGAAAGCATTTGAGTTGTTGAATGGTCATTGCAGGTTTGTGGAAACCAGTGACAAGAATGTGAAATACGATGTGAGATGAAGGAGGCTTAGGATCTTATTTTCAGGGTAGGAAAGGAGATTATATGCTTGCTAGTATGGTTAAGGTTCAGTGAAGCACAATTTGGCATCAGCTTTTTGGTGAGGAGGAAGGATGGTCTAGATGAAGATGTGGACTGTGACTCCCACTATACCACAGACTCAGTGTGTGATTTTTGGATGATTTACTCCATCCCAAGCCCACAGAATTTTTTTTAATTTAAATTTTCCATACTCCAAGCCAAATTAGTCAAAATAAATTCTAAATCTGTGAGTCAGTTCAGAACCATAAATGGCCCTACTGCCAGCAAACATCCTCCACCCCTATCTGGGGCTTCAGATGTGTCCAAAACCTTTGGTGGTCATCCTACTTGCAGGCCCAAGCCCAGAGGCTTGGGGTTCAGATGTCTCTGAGTTTTGCTTGCCCTCAGCCATAAGGCCACAGGGGCAAGCTAGGGAGGAGTCTCCCCTTTCCATAAAGTGGGCATAAAGCCAAGACCTTCCCACTCCAGCAGCTAAGTGGGAGGTTTACTATACATTACCTTGGCAGGTACTATCCCTGTGCCAGGAGAACGGTCTTCCCCAGGTGCGACTAGGAAGACCACCTCAGTGGCCATGGTGTTTCCCTTTCCAGGCAAGCACAGGACTATGCTTGATCTGAGCCCACAAAAGGCCAAGAAGGTCTTAAGTGTGTAAGTGGGGCTTAGGTGAATAACATGTAGAGTCCAAATTGCAAAACCCCACCTAACCCATTAGATGTTTCAGTGCTCATGAGTAAAGTTCCCTGAGGGCCTAAGGTTCTGCTTCTGTGCATGCCCAGAAATACTATCTTTGGACAGGGCTGAGAAACTCAGAGTCCCTCCAGCGCCAGTCCAACCATTAGGCAAACTAGGCGGTTGCCTCTGGCACCAGAATTTGAGGGGCGCCAAAAATTATATGCAGAACAAAATAACAGGAGCATCATTCTAATAACAGCCCTGGCCAGCTAAGGCTTCACCTTGGTCTAAGACCTTTGGTTCGGTAAGGGGAGAAAGACCTCTGAAAAGATCTCAGAGGAAAGGTCACTAGAATCGCGACTCTGACCATTTCAACTCTCAAGCGGACTTATGACAAGAGCATACTGCTGACAATGCCATCCTAAAAGATTAACCCCTACTCCTATATCATCTGACAGCTCGTGACACTGATTTCTTACACCTTCCTTCTCCCTTCCAACCACCCTCTTTTAAATCTAAAGCACCCTAAATGTTGTCAGTTGCATTTCAGATTTCGTCAAGAGTAAAATGACCAAAATACGCTGATTCTGGGTACAGATATGTATTGTGCCTGTAATTCAGTAAACAGGCTTCAAGGTAGGAATGTCTTAGTTTGATTTTGTGGATCTCATTTAATTTATATGATGAAAAGTGTGAAACAATCAATATTTGTTTTTGTTTTTATTGTTTTATTGTTCATTTCAAATATCAAATAAATACATGTAAAAGTTTATGCTAGACTTCTTATTTTTCTCTATATTGGAAGTTGTGGGGGCACTGAGGTACACAGTTAGCCTAGGGTGTCAAACTGGCCCTGAGTCCCTCTTATGCTCCTGCCCATCTGGAATCCTCAAACTCAGCATGCCTCTGCTTAGGTGCCCCAAGGGATCCAACCACAGCCCTCAGCGAGAGAGGGGGCATCTTAAACCTCATCCTAGGGATTTAAATACTTTACTCAGCACTGCAGAAGGCAGCTCTAGCAGCCTGGGATTTTCAACCCTGCACTTCGTTTTGAAGTTAGGCTCCTAAGCTGTCCCTTTCCGGAGGAGATCAAGGCTCACTCTTATTTAAAAATGCCAGGATGGTTGTGCCATCCCTGCTTTTGTACAACGCCTCTGTGCCTTGTAGAACACCCCTGCTTTTGTATAATACCTTCACAAGATGCCTTTGTGGAGCCATTAGTCTTCACACCTCTCTCTCACAGGAGTGTTATAAGGATAAGTACATCTATAATTGTGGGATGCTTGGTTATGTTGGTGCTGAAGGCCATGGATGAGGAAAAAGAGGAGCACTACAAGACAGGAATGTTTATCTGCATAAGCTAAACTTGTCTGTTACTCCTTGAAATATTTTATCATCTCTTTTCCAGCCAGCTATTGCAAGTGCTAAGCAATGGTCAATCGGTGCCTGCCTGTCCTTCCTGACCCACCACTTTCTCAGGTATTTCTATCCCTTCTGTGAATTTTAGGTATGGCTGAGGCATCTGGATGCAAATGGTCCCTTCAGGGCTTGTGAGTCACCAAGTCTGGGTTTCTCTTTACCTCATCTGTCTGTGAAGGCCTTGCCCTCCTCAGC